TTTTCAGCAGTTTGTTAGGACAGAGGGACCACTCGGTCTTTTTTCAGCTTCATGAAACACTCCATTTCTGCATCTTATTGACAAGAGGGAAAGCACTTTGGAAGTTTGTGTCAGCATTTTCTCCCATGGCCACTCAGAGTCAAATGACACCCCCCCCCATGAATACATGGCCCAGAACAGAAGGAGAGCCTTCTATTCTGGGACTAATAAATGTCAGTAGGGACCATCTGAGGGTAATGGATCTTGTTATACAGGAGTAGGCAAAGTGTTCATAGGACAAAATTCTAACTGTGTAAAGGGACAAATGGTGAAAACATAAATTTCCTTCCAACCATATTCTTGGGTCTCCTTAAAATACATCTGTAAAGAGCTATTATATGCACACACCTTAAATGGAAACCCAGTTTAAAAGAACACATTTTTCATAATTTTGGGATTTAAATCACAATTCCCTTAGTGCTTACTGCTTCCATGTGAAAATATTCTAGAGAAATACATCTCACTCTCCAATCAGCTCATTCCATTCTGACATAGGTCCAGGGTATAAGTTCTTAAGTTGTTTGTAGGCTTTGAAATATACTACTCTCTTTTGCTTTCCTTCCCCACTTTGCCTTCTTTTTTATTATTTAAATTTTATTTTTACCAAAATCATAATAGAACAATAGGCAAAGTATATTTTTATGCATGTGTTCATAAGTAAGAGTAATAAAAGCCACAATAAATTTAAACCAACACAAATAATTTGTTAATAATAAGTTCCCTCTAGATATTTGAGGGGTCCAATTATGTGTGAGTACACAGAGGGACTTTGAAGAGTTGCCAGCGTTTTGTGAACCCCTCACTTTCACCAAGACCAGAAAAAAAGAAAAGAAAAATCTGGAGGCTACATACCTTTCATCTAAGATGTACTTAAAATATTAGACTACCAAGGCTCAGGTATTGTTGTGGAAGAAGCAGAAAGATTTTAAGAGCCAAAGATCATGGATGGTTAAAAGGAAATAGTGTCATCTAGACACAGCAGGACAGTTGCACATATGAATTCACAGCAGTTGAAACAGGATGTACAGGACTAGCACAGACTCAAGACAGATAGCATTCTAGCATGGATCAGGCAGTGGTCACAGTCTCACCCCTCGGGTAGGAACTATTGGTAAAGGATAGGTTGTGGTCTTGAGGAGGGGGAGAGTAAGTTTTCTTTAGTAGTGGCAAAGCCCTAGTAGGTTGACCTCTCTCCAATGAAGGGCATCCATCCAAGAGTATATGTCACAAATTGTACTTGGAAACAAAAAAAAAAAAAAAAGGATACAAAGTTGGGTGGGTTGGAAAATGAAAATGGGAATGGCAAGGAGTGGAGGCAGAAGGTGAGCATGATTTAACTATATCATACAAAATTCTCAACTAATAGAGATGAAAGAAAATAAAACAAGAAGGAGAACAAAACTACTGCAAACCCTCATATCACTATCTCGTAGCCTGTCCTCACCCAACCTGTCTGTAAATTGGGGGAATTCGGTTCCATGTTACTCTTAGTGAAGTTTAAACTGCTATTCAACACACGGTACTCAAAAGCTTCTAATTTAGCCACTCATCATAAAAATTTGCTTGTCTATTGTCTCTAGCAGAGGATGAACAGCATGTAATGTAAAGATGGGCACCCTGGAGATATTTGTTGTGGAAAGTGATCCTAACATGTGCTTGCTAGTATGTCAAGTCTGGAGTTTATTCAGAATTTCTTTTCTTTTTCTTTTTCTTTCTTGGCTGAAATTCTGGTTGCATTTGATCTAAAAAAGTGGAGGGATGTGATGTGTAGAATCTAGACTGCTGAAGCAAATATTCAGTTCAGGTTAAGGAGAGGCATAAAAAACATGTTTGGGCCACATGCTTGCCTCAGTTATCAGCTAGTAGACTTTGGGCCCTGCAAGTTCTTCTTAAACCACAGTGTCATCTTGACATTGAAAAAGGAAAACAAAAACAAAAGTGTAAGTTGGCTTAAGAGTAATCAGATATGCTGATATCTCACCAGGCTTCAGCAGAGTCTAGACTGCTGTTACCATTCCTGAATGTTATGGCAGCAGAGAGTACTTCACCTGGGTAATGGCCAGGGTTACTCTCACAGAGCCTATGTACAAAGCTCTGGCTGTGTAAGGCTCTTCTATTCTTTCCAGAAGTCATTCCTGCCAGCCTTCCCAGACCACCTTTAGTGAAGATAAGCATCAATAATTCCAGGACTTACATTCCAACCAGTAAATATTCATCAGAGTGTTACCCTTCAACATTAAAGCTCAGACGATTCCACGGTGCATGTATGTGTCCTAAGGGGACATTTTAGAAGATTCCACACTCCATGTAGTGTCTCAAAGGGGAACTCCACCTATAGAAGCTGTCCTAGTTTTTGTGTTCTGTAACTTCAAAGTGTCGCTGCCCCTTTCTTTAATGGTCTCCAGGAAGTTTTGTTCCTAGGGGTTGGATGGGAATCAGGTCACACCAAGGGACATTCTAACTGACAGCTTTCTGAAGGTTGCGCTTCATAGGACTAACAGAGAGGGAATTCTGGTCTTTGGAGACAATCCTCTTTCAGGGGTGCATAGGAGAAATGTCTACGTATTGTTAAAAATCTATTGCAGCTATTGTTTCTGTTTTATTATCCGTCCACTATGACTTGAGTCACTAATTATATTCCTTGATAGGAAATATGATTTCAAGCCAGATTTGTTGCCCTCTGTAAGTGAACAAGCAAGACTTTGAGGTCCACAGTTTTGTTTAAACTCATTTTGTCTTCATCCTGTGCTCTACTGTTTCTTGTTTGTTTCCCTCTCATTTCCCTTTTACAATTATATTACAAAAAAAAAAAAAAAACTGACCAAACTGACCCTAGTCTCTGGGAGGAAGGTATAAAATGTTTGGCAACAGTGAAAGTTTTCTGAACTGTTCTGACCAAAATTTAATTCAAAAACTCAAAACACACAATGACTACAAGGCATCTGGCAGTGCTCCTCAATGGCACATATGACAATCAGTGCAGCCTTGCTTCTGTACACATATCATGCATACTTTGCTCTGTGCATGCTGTGACAGCATAGGCTCCCGGGAAATGCTGCCTCAAAAACTCAGACCAGACGCAAGACTATTGTGTGGTATGAACTGTAGCAGTTTTACTTTACATGAAGTTGTCAGCTCTTGTAGACAAATAACGCTATAACACAGAAAACAAAACCTTTTATTATTTTCCCACCATTGTCCTATAGCACATGAGCTTCTAATGGACATGTTTGGATTGACTATATTTGAACGTTTGATTTTTAAAATCAAAGTCTTGAGTTTCATATTAATAAAAAATGTTAACTGAATTTTAGCTTGGGACTTGGAATTTCCAAAATGGCCCTGAATATACTTTTTTCCCCATTTTATGCATTGAGGACTGTAACCAAAATATTAAATTAACTCTGAATAGTGTTGTAGATGCTCTTGTCCTCCTCCATCAAGTATTCAGTCAAGAGAAGATCTAATTTTTATGTAACAATAAACAAAGCCATCTCATTAGCATGAGGATTTGCTTTAATCTTAATAATCTTTAAAAAGTAGTAAAGTTATATATATGCCAAAGAATTGTCTTAATGTTACAGTATGATCTTGCATTAACAGTTGTTTGGTTTACATGCCTATTTTGTATAAATCCCTGTCCAAGGTCACATAAAAACTATAAGAAACGGTTGCAAGTGGGAAAAGTTTAAGAAATCCTGCTCACTCTACTTCACAATGAAGGTTTCAGGGTATGAAGAGGGCCCTATATGCAGGCTGGGTGAAATCCCCCTATTCAGGATGCCAGCTGCAGAACTTGGGCAGCAGCCCTTTCTTAGCTGGGTGGGAAAGAAAGTTGGGAGTGCCCCGCTTCTGGCTGCTCAAAAAAGGCTGGCCCGAACCCCACTGGGTGGCAGTGACTGCTGTTAGTCAGGTGACCTAAAAGGATCTAAACCAAGGGGTTTTGCGAAGAAGGGAGGGATTCTGGCTGTTGGATGGAGGCAGAAGATGTTTCTCCCCTAGTTGGGAAGCGGTACCATTAGTTGGTCTTTGCTGAAGGAATTTAGTTGACATTCCTGCAGTTCAGGGAAGCATCATTTCTACTAGCCAAATTCTAGGAGAACTTACACCTGGCAGTTTGCCTGGGTATGTGCCATGGCTAGCTCGAGTCACTACTAACTGCTCTAAAGCTATGTCAACTGTTGTCTGTGTCAAGCCTTCGCTTTTGCGGAGGAATTCTTAACATGCACACACTGCTCTACTTTCCAAGCCCTCCCGACTGGTTCCTAGTGGAGAAAACGCCATGTTTTCGCTCCTCAATACTCATGCATTAACTCAGCAAACACTTGCCCTGCTCTGTGCCGGGAGTTGGTCGTCCTCCTTTCAGAAGACGTGGAGAGTTCTTGACGGGATCTGAAGGACTCTCGGACTTCTGAGAGCCACTTCAGACATCTGGCACCACTGCCCAGGAACCCCCGCCTGCGCGGCTGAGAACTCTGCTGCCAAGCCAGCCTGACCCAGCTAAGATCCCGCTGTCCAGGAGCAGTTGTGGAGAAATAAGGGGGTAGTCTCCATCTATGTCATTTTCCAACCTGTACTCTGGGGCTCAGCCAGTTTGTACCCGAGGTTCAGAGTTGCTCCGTAATTTGGAAGAAAGAAGGGAGGAAGGGAAAGAAGGAAGAAGGTGAGACGGACAGAGAGAGGGAGGGGACCCAGACAACAGATTTGGCTGGACTGCCTAGATCCTGAAACGCAGCGGAAAGGAGTCCCCACTCAGAAATTAACCTCAAAGGCCACCGGCTGCCCTGCTGCACGCAGCCTGGACTCGTCCCAGAGCCTGGTCGGGTGGCGGCCAAGGCCATCCACTACCACCTTCCGGTCACTGCCTGCTTTCGATCCTGTCTGCGAGTGCTTCCTCTCTCCTGCCATTCTCCTCCTCCTCGCTCCTCCCGATCTCTCCTCCTCTCTCTAGTCCCTCCTCCTATCGCCCAGCCTCCCCCACGTCCCAAACCGCGCTAGCTAGACGTCTGGGCAGCCCCAGCGCAGCGCGCAGCAGCCTTCCTCCGATTCCCGCACAGTGCGCTTGTCTGGGCCAGGGCGTCTGGAGCGCTTGCCGGAGGCCACCGCCTCCCAGACCGAGGACAATTCACCTGGGCGCTCGCCTGAGATAGCGTCGCTGCCGACGCAGTCGCCGCGCAGACCGCGGGACTCCGTCTGTCTCGGATTAATCCCGGAGAGCGAAACCAGACTCTCCTGGGCAGAGATGCGACCCTCCGGGACCACAGGAACAGCGCTGCTGTTGTTACTGGCCGCGCTCTGCGCCGCAGGTGGGGCCCTGGAGGAAAAGAAAGGTAAGGGCGTGCCCGCCGGCCCGCACCCCCTGCGGAGAGCGTTCGTTCGCCTAGCCCTGGCCGTCGGTGCCAGGCTCCGAGTCCCCAGACTCCCGCCCGTCCTCTCCTGTCTCCCAGAGGATCGGCTGGGACCGTGGGAGGAACACGACGTCTTGTGTCTGGAACGGTCGAGACTGGGCGGCCAAAGGAAGGGAGACCGGGCTGGGGGCAGAGGGGCTGCCAGCGCAGCGTGGGAACCGCGGCTGAGCGCTCGTTCCGGGGACTCCCGACGGCTCCCAACTTAACTTTTCTCACTTTTCTGCGCTCAGTAGGCGTCCGGGAGCGGAAACGTGGTGCGAGGCAGCTCCTGGCATCGGCGCACGTGCGCTCAGTACTGTCAGAGCGAGCTAGAGAGACCCCGGGTCTGTTCGCGGGGTGGACATGTCCTACCCGCACAGCCCTGGAGTTTAGGGACTAGAGGAAAAACCAGCAGAGCGCACCCTTGATCAAGATTGGGATCTCTGAGACCCGTGATTTCCTGAGCGCGCCCTCCCGCACTTCTTCCTCCACCAGGGTTTTCTTGGGGCCTGGCAGCCCAAGTTCCAAAGGGTCTCACAGATTCCTCTGTGCCATTTCGAGGGTGTGGAGCTGTGGCAATGACCTGAAAGTGTGGGAGACGTCCCTGTCACTAACCACCTGGGCCCCCTCAGAAAGGATGGTGTTGGTGGTGATTCACTTCTTCACTAGTAAAAAAGAGGGCGCGGGGATGAGGCGGGGGGGGGGGGGAGTGAGTGGGGTGGGTCGGTCCTGCCTCTTGGCCACAGAGTACAGGACACCAGGGACCTGCCAGTCTAGGTGCACTGGTTGGGGACTAGGGCTCCCTGCCAGACTGGAGCTAGTCTCCCTGGGTGGCTGCTTCGCTGGGATCCCTGAAGTTTGCCCTTTCCCTGCAGGGAGAGCTTAGGTAGCATCTCGGCTTTGCAATGGAGTGGCTGAGGGCCTTGTGACAGTTGGGTTGTTGTATTTCATCCTTGGTGTTTCAAAATGAGGCCCACAGCAAGCTTTCTCCTTGTTATCTAAGGCTTTCCCTCTTGGGATTTTTCTTTTAATTTTTTTTTTTTTAACCTTATGAAGTGATTGATATCGGGCCAACCAAAATATAACCAACCCCTAATTAAAAAGAAATGGATTGATGTCCTTGAACCACGTGTGCCAACTGTCCAGACGGAACATGAGCAAGTCTGGCTTCATGACTACCCGACCATAAACCCACTTGACACGAGAAACATGCCTCGGAAGGTTTAATTGCACAATTTCTAAATCCAGCTGCTCAGGTTCCAAGAGTCAGGTCTGCACTTGCGGTTGGTGTCATTGGCATTCAAGTTGGAGTTGGGGGTTGGTGCTGAGCGTGCTTTTGTTGGAGGGGGTGTAGGACTCGGTTTCCCAAACTTAACTACACAATGAAATCATTTGGGATTAAAAAATCAACAAGCAAAACAAACTACACCTCCCACTCCATACATACTAGTCTGTCGTGAGAATTAGTTTTAAAAAGTCTCTTGGAGTGTTTGGTTTGAGACTTACTGCCATAGACAGGTAACATCTCAGAAAGCCTATGTGCCAGTCCTCAATACTGTTTTGGGCCATCAGAGGTCTGGGCAATCTTGCACTTCAGGGAAAAAAGAGAGGTGATGTCAGCAATGGAGGGCTAGCAATGGAGCTCTTTTTCACTGATGCTTTAGTGTGAAGTTTTTCTCCTACCTTTCTTAGCAGAAGGTCTCCCCTTCCCCAGCCTCTGATAGCCAGTAGCTGTGCATAGCGATCTCTAGGGTCCTTCAGCTGGGTGACATCTGTCCCTGCTCACAGGAGGGACTTTGTCTCCTAATTTTCAACTGTTTTCTTAGAACTCTCGGAAATATTCACTTTCTCACTTCAGCAGGGCACCCAGATTTTCAGTGTTACTGTCTTGGGCTATTAGTGGCTGCAGATTTGTTTCTGGGTAAAACAAAAATGCCACATTGTTCAACTGTTGGCATGGCATTCACTTAAAACCTAATGCTTCTGGGTATAGTAGTAAAAGTAACAAATGTTCATCTGTTAAAGAAAATGGCTAGAGTTCTAAAGGGCAGATTATTGAAAACTTGAGACAATCTTTCTGCAAGGTGTTGCTCAGTTTGTTGGTTTTGTTCCAGACTGGCTCCCTTAAATGAAGTAAGGGCTTATCCATCCCTCTAATCTATGGTACCATGTGCCTATACTCAGAGCAGAAGAGACTGCTTCAAGTGTGTTATCAATCCTCACATCACGTGTCACAAATGACAACTCTCATCATATTTATGGGAGAACCTATGCACTGGGCAGAGAAGTGCGGTGATTTCTCCCACAGTTGGTAAGAAGTGAAGCCAAGATTCAAGCTCCCTCCACAGCCAAACTCCATGGCCTCATTGTAGGAGGGCTGGCCTGGGTTAGGTGTGTAAGTGACTCAGGTTTGATACTAGAAGGAGAAGAGGGACCAGGAAACAGGATGGTGAGGATTAGTTCCTGTCTGAAGCTTGCTTGTCCAATGGCCTTTTCTCCTGTTCAGGGATGCTTTGGTTTCCTGGGTTGCCCTTGATGGGGGCAGTACAATCACTAAATCAAAGTCTGGGCAGGGCATTGGCTTGGCCTTTCTGAGCAAGCTCCTCCTGGACCACGGCAAGGGAAGGCACTTCTGTGGAAGAGATACTGTGTGTAGAGCAAACAAGGAGAATGGGTACACTCAACCAGAGAGCCTTGCAAGCATCCGCCTGCTCTAGTGTTGTCTATGAAGACACTGGCATACAGAAGGCTGGATTGTATTAAAAAGAAGCAAAAGTGGGTTTCAAACAGCTTCTCAAGTGAAGACCACCAGGCTTCTTTTCTCTCCCTCTCAGAGAACTGGGTCTTGGGAAGCACAGGCCTGGCTTGGTAGCCGGGAATCGTATGTTTTCATTCCAGGTCTGAGTTAGGTGGAAAGTCCCATTGAAACTCCAGGCTTCTGGGATCTCCTTTCTAGATTCAGTGAATGTTTATTGCTAGCCTTAGAAGTACCAGACATTATGAGTTTAAAGGGGGACCTGTTATTGCTTCTAAAGATGTGTAGTTCTTGAAACCACTAATTAAACATTGCTGATCTGACATTCAAATATGTAGAGGGGTCTTTGCTGTGTTCATGGTCACAGTGGTGGATGGAGCATGAAGCTTTCTGAAACCAGGTGGTAGCACCAACAGACTGAACAGCTACATTTGGCTGTGTGTACTTAACCTCATAATCCATAACTTTTCAAAAAAAATGCTGCGTTTGGTATCTTAATCACTAGGGTTCTGTCACTGTCAAATGTCTGGCCCTCTTGACTGGCCATCTGTGATATGAATATGCTGAGACTGACTTTCACTCCTAGTAACCCCAGCAGCTTGCTTTGGGAACTATATGGGGACTGCCATGGGGTGTGATACCCTTATGTCATGTATATACTTTTGGGTGAGTTCTTACAGGACAGACCTAGACTTCAAGTGTCCTTTCTGACTATATTCAACTTTTCATTAACAACAGGCTAGACTTACAGTTTGGGACCATTATAATGCCTTGTTTGTATTCCTAAATAGTCCTGTAATTTCACTGTTACTGAAGAATGATGCACACATGGGCTGCTTTACACAATTTTGTAAGTTAATCACTAGTGTTTGTCTTGTGAGTATAAAAACACATATTGGCACTGTTAACTATTTATTGCACTTTTCTTTGTATTTGAGCCAAGATGTGTATGTAACTTGTGCTGTGCCATCTGTATTTTGAGTTATGAAAATGAGTTGGACCTGATATGTCTTCTTAAGTCTCTAAAAGTAAATCGATAGAAGAGTGAAAGATCATAAGTAATGTGCAACAAAGTCACAGAAGAAATGGAAAATCTACACAGAATAAAGGACTTTTTATAGGCTGAGTTTTTAAAGGCTTCTGATTGTAGGGGGAGATCAAGAAAATCCCCAAATGGAAGAGATCATGTTGGTAGGTATTATAGAAGTAATGTTGTTCTGGAGAGCCCTAGTCAAGGCAACAGGAAGAGAAGAGGTGTTCTATACAGTTTCAGGAGAGCTCCATTAATCCCAGCACAACCTTGGATCTTCTTCTATATGAAAAGACTCACTGCAGAATCTTAAGGAATCATCAAGAAGTGGTTGGCATTTAATGTATCCAGGGAATATGAAGCTTGCATTGTTGGGTATCTGGAAATAGGGAAATGGGTGACAATGACAGATGACCTGAAGCAAGATTGAGGAGGATGCTGGACTTGTGACTGGGAGACTGATCTAGAGGCAGATCCGACAGAGGGATGTAGGAAGCAAATAGGGAAAACAAAAGGCTAAGCTCAAAATACAAGCTTCCAGCCTGGAAGTCTTGGTAGACAGATGATGAACCCATGCTTAAAGGCTGGAAAGTTGGGAATCACAAAGAATGGGTGTTGAGCATGAATTTCCTGTTTAGATGTATTAAGTGTGAAATATTGAGATGAGAATATCTAGGAGGCAGGAGACTGTATGAACTAGGAACACAGTAAATCACTTTATTAGATATTTCCATTTCAATTAATGTCAATGGTCATAGAACCACTCACTACCCCATAAAACCTGCTGTCAGATGTTTACTGTCATACTAATGTTAAACCTGCCAGGCCTGTGGATTTTCCCTTTCTTTCTGTATTAACATAGGCTTATTTATTTATTGATCTTAGCAGCAGTTCGGTAACTGATAAGTAACAGTCATAAGTAAGCATGTTAGGAACCATAATCTTTATAAATGGTTATATGCCCTCAAATGCAGATCTTCACTTAAGCCATTATCAAATCATTGTTTTATAATAATAACCAAAACAAAAAAAATAACTTTCTAATACTGGGCTGTGATGATATACACTTTTGACCCCAGCACCCAGGAAACAGAAACAGGCGGATCTCTGTGAATTTGAGGCCAGCCAGATGTACAAAGTGAGTTCCAGGACATGCAG